GCAAGATAAACCACAAAGTACAGTTGTGCTTCATCGAAAGCAAAGTATTTCATTGCATTTTATTTCAAAAGTTTTTTTTTTAGTGCACGTTTGTACGTGCTTTGAGAAATTCGCTTCTTTTCGAATACAATGTTTGCAAAAAAAAAGGAAAGATAACACCTAAAGCACATTTTTTTTTATGCTTCCACAGTGAAGAACAGCAAATTCGGTAAGCTTGAAACGAAAGCAAATTTCGTAAAAGCCAAACAAATGCTAAACATCAAACAAAGTAATCGCAGGGATAAAAAAAATTAAAAAAAAAACTTTGCAGCACTGACAGCAAGTCCATAACAAGAAACAGTCGCTTGCGGCTCGTGCCATTTGAAATATTGCTTTTGATTCTATTGTATGCCTTACAATAGCCACAGATGTGTATACCTATACACAATTCAACTTGGCTTTTTTCTACTATATATGTATGTATGTACATTAGACTGCATCACTCCCCATACAAAAAAAAAAAAAAACGGTACTGTTTTTCCATTGGAATTATAAAATCAATTATATTTTAAGACATCTGCCAAAATATTTCGGAAAAATATTAAGATTTAAGCGAGCTGGACCGATTTGAAAATGCCTCCAAAAGTGGAGTTTTTTATGAATAAAAATAGTTTTTAAAAATTATTTTTGAGAAAATCCCCTCAAGTGACAAAACGGTTTAAGCATAAAAAATTTACATGAAAATATCTTAAAAAAAAAAAATAAAAATTTTGAACGGAATCGTAATAATGAGGTTTTTGATGCTGTTTTTCAAGTTTTTTCATAGATTTTTCCGAAATATTTTGTTGAACGTCTTCAAATATAATAAATTTTGTAGTCCCGGCGGAAAAACCGCAACTTTTTTTCGGTGATGCAGTCTAATGTATCTACATACTTTGCCCTGTTGACTTCACAGTGCTTTGTTTTTAGCTTTCTCCTAACTTTTGTTGTGCTTTAACCCGCTTGCAGAGCGACGTGTTCACTGCATTTGCGTGTACTAATATATTTCCTATCCACTAAATATTTCCTTGGACATTTCGTTTGCCGAGCTGCGTCACGGCAAATGTCCAACGATTTGGTTGACAGTCGTCTGGCTCCGCACCAATTCAACAGGATTGGAGACAGCAAATGGCGCACTACAAACTGATGTTAGCACTACAACGGTATTTGGTCATAGCTTCCTCAACTACCAAAGAATATTGGTGGCATTTGATTTTATGCGATGCGATTTGGCGCAGCACAGGGTAGTAAATATACAAGTAGTTATTCGGGTGCATGTAACGGTACTTATGTATATGTATTTTTCACCTGCAATAATTCCTCGCTTGAGTAGTCACGATTGCGCTGTTTGCTGTTTATGCGCTGAAGGGCTCAACTGCGTGTTGATGTGGAGTTTCTTGGCGCTGCGCTTGTTTGTTTCTTGAAATCGTTGTTAATTTTTTTTTTGGTGTCATAAATTTTGCTGTCACCACCGTTTGGTCAACGATTGGCGATTGGGGACTGCGGACTTTTCAATTTGATTTATTATTGCAGTTATTGGTTAATTTGATATTCTATTTGTAATGTACCCAGAAGATAATTTAGGTAGGCCTTCTTAAGTGAAGCCATCGTAAGAGGCCCACCCAAGAAGGGCTGAAAAAAGTGCTTACATTTATATTATTTAGCATTACAAATGAATTTCAATAAACATTTTTAGTTGCAATAACGCATATTTGATATAAACCGTAAGCAAATACTTCAAAGATGTATAATTTTTATAAATTAAAGGAGCAACTTTAAAAGAACTCCTCCAAAAGGCCTTCTGAAGTACGTCCTATTAAAGCCCTTCAATTTGTGCCACTCCATTCAAAAAAGAAAGGAGAAAGGAACGTAGAATCGAAGGCCTCTTCACTCTCAGGAAGGCCTATCAGAAAGGCTTTTAACTCATGAAATTATCTACTGTGTAAGAAGTTTTGATGATCGCAATAAGAGTGAATGAGATGGTGGTATATATTTAGTTTCCTATTTTCAGCTGCATTTGATTTAGTAGCTAGATATTGTCTAAATACAATCATAATCAGGCAAAAGTAATAGAAAGGGTATGCACCTGGATGCGGTTATTGACCTCACTCTGGTTTATAACAACTTCTGGTGTTCTTCTATTCTATAAAATCAAAATATTTAAGCAAGCAATAAAATTATACTAAAATAATATGTTGTACTTCATACCTTTATACATTCCTGCTTTTCAACTAGGAGTCTTTTGCGACGCTGGAGAATAATATGGCTCTTATAAGATTTGATATACATATCTATATTATCACGCCAGAAGAAATACGAGCCCTGAGGTGAAACCTGGGGGAGCCATCAGTGACGTGGAGGCTAAGAAGAATTCGAGTAGCTAGAACCGATAGACTACTTGACCGGGGCCATATGCTTTGGCTCTACCCAGAGGAGGAGATAATAGAAATTCCGGAAGACTTTAACTGCGTTGTAGGAGATTTAGTCGGAAGTGGGCAAATAAACCTCCAAAAGAAGCATAATCTCTACCGACTGCTGCTCCAAATCTCATCTAAGAGAGCAGCTGGCATCGTAGTCAGCCAAGAACGCTGGGTGGTTGTACAAAACATATCACACACACACTCTTCTAAGGAAGCACAACTCAGATCCGGAAAGATATCTGCTTGTGCATCGTACAAACTCAACGTAAGTAATAAAAAAAACAGGTATAGCAGTTGTTTTCTAGTAGCGAATGTGATTATGAGAAAAATAAAATGGTTGCAATAATCGGAGATGCAACCTACGAATTGATTTATGCCAAAAACACAAACACTTCTGTAGATGATGCTCATGGCGATTTCCGTGTACTCTGTAGAAAGAGTCACACATTCTGGGTACAGGTAGAACGCAGTTGCAGAGTTTAAACAACATCTAAGCTCAGTAGTCACTTCAAGCAAGCTTATCTTAGATTGAAACGGTCGCCCATGCTGGACACCGCTACTGCCTTAAAAACCATTTGGGCTAAGAGTCAAAGTCGTGAAATTTCCAATACCCATGGACCTGAGCTCATCAGCATGCCTGGCATTTGCACCTTCGCTTAACAAGAAGCGGCGAGTGGCATGGGTTATGTAATATACAAGGTTTCCACCTCTTCCGCATCTCGTCAGCTTTTAAATAAATTGTTTAAAGAAACACCGAGTCTGGCCGCATGTAAGTCAATTAAATAGTAACCCGTAAGGACTGGCATACAGCGAAGTTGTAGCCATCAGCTCATTGTCAGCTTAAAATAATTAAATTAATTTCTTCTCAAATAGAACACAAGCCACGGCTTGTAGAATTTGATTTCATTTTCAGGGATTTAAATCAATTTTTTGCGACAAAATATCAGTTAAATATGTGATATGATCGAAAACGGTGCTGACACGACAAGCGTTGTCATTAAACTGTTTGCCAATATCATCAGAGTGTCTCTCTCGTGTGCAAACATATGCGGCAAAACATACATACAAACATATTACATGCCAATGAAAAACGAACCTTATTGTAAATTGTATTTTGCTTGTTGCTAAACCTATCAGCGAAACTTGCTACTAAGAAAATCACCTTGAGCTTGATCTTCTAACAACATCTACTCCGCCGCTAAACAGTCTCATCCAAAACTTATTTCAATTCATGTCAATAACTCGGCACTTTAGAACAAGTTTCATTGTACATAAGTTTGTGTGTGAACAGGTCTGTATATTAATTACAAGTTAATTATTGTTTTAATATTTTTTTATTACAATAATGATTCGCAATAAACAATTTTAATCACAGACGAACACATAAAATCTCGGCGTTTTTAAAATACAAATGCATGCGATCTATTCTAATGACAAGAAAGGTGAGGTATTTATCGGCCATAACCAGCTGATGCTGATGCAGATGAATGCGCCGAAGCTGAGCTGCCACCATAGCTGCCATAACCGCCACGCCCACCACTAGCGCCGTATCCACCACCTCCATGCCCACCATTTCCAAAGCCACCAGCACCAAATCCACCAGGGGCCAAGCCACCTGCGCTAAATCCACCAGCACCGCTTTGTCCACCGGCACCGCTAAAGCCACCACTCAAGGCTGCGCCTAGACCAAGACCAGGAATGAGTCCTAAGCTTCCACCGGCACCAGCGCCGCCATGCGCATGTCCATGTCCATGATGACCGCGGTTTCCATGTCCACCACCGTGACCACCGTGTCCACCAGCGCCTCCAATACCGAAGCCTCCCTGACCTCCGGCACCACCAGCACCACCGTTTTCCCCTCCAATACCACCACCTGTAGCTCCAGCGGAACTGCTTGCTGATGCGGATCCATGACCTCCAGATGCGCCTGCAGAATTGCCATAACCGCCGATTCCACCAGCACCACCAATTCCACCTTGTCCACCAGCGCCAGAGCCAGCGAAACCTGGCCCATATCCTCCAGCACCATTAATGCCACCGATTGCACCACTTCCAGAACCAGCACCTGCCGAACTACCAGCCGATGCCGCTCCTTGACTTCCCGCTATGCCTTTGCCGCCTGTCCCACCGAGTCCTAGGCCAGCATTCAGTTCGCCTCCAAGTCCAATATTACCGGAACCGGATAACTGACCTCCAGCTGCACCTTTACCGACGCCATAACCGCCGGCACCAGCTGAACCTGAGCCATAACCACCCGATTCACCTTTGCCACCTCCATAACCACCGGCACCTCCAGCACCATTGATGCCACCTCCAACGTGCCCGCCTGCTCCACCTCCAGCGCCAGTACCAGACGCACTACCTGCCGATGCAGATCCATGAGCTCCGCTACCGCCCGTGCCTCCAAAACCGCCTACACCACCGATACCTCCTCCAAAGGCACCACCAGTTCCACCGATTCCTCCTCCTATAGCACCGCCTGCTCCACCTGCAGCGCTAGAGCCAGCACCAGCTGAACCTGATCCATAACCGTCGGCAGCGCCTTTATCACCGCCATAACCACTGGCACCTCCAGCTCCAAAGTTTCCACCCGCTCCACCGCCTGCTCCACCGATACCAATGCCACCGTTCAGTCCGCCTCCAATTCCAGAATGACCGCCAATTCCTCCACCAATTGCACCGCCTGCTCCACTTGCAGCATTGCCAGAACCTGATCCATAGCCACCGGAACCGCCTGATCCATAACCTCCAGCCGATCCACCAAGTCCACCACCAATGCTACCGCTTGCTTCACCACCAGCTCCTGCTCCTGCTGAACTACCTGCAGAAATCGGTCCATGACCTGCGCCTTTGCCGCCACCTATTCCGCCTGCACCGCCAAAACCTATGGCACCGCTTGATCCGTGTCCTCCGGCGGCTGATCCTTCACCACCGCCATAACCGCCCACACCACCAGTGCCATCAATTCCGCCTGCTGCACCGCTAGCACCAGCACTAGCACTGGCAGAGCCTGAGCCTTTAGCGCCACCATAACCTCCGGTACCGCCGCCACCACCACCGATTCCGCCTCCAATGCCTGCACCTCCAAGTCCTATGTTGCCGCCAATTCCTAAGCCCAAGCCGGAACCAAGTCCACCACCAATGCCGCCATCCGCTGACGAAGCGGAATCGCTACCACCGTGGGCTCCACCAAATCCTCCAGCGCCATGGTTTCCGCCATAACTTCCAGTACCACCTGCCGATACAGACGACGACGATGACGACGACGACGACGTGGCAGTTGCGCTGCTGCCACCTATTCCAAAGCCAAGCGAGCCGCCACCTTCCTTAGAACCACCGCCATGAGATACGCCATAAGCTGCAGAATAAATGAAAATGTTAAAAGTCTACATTCCAAAAGCATTGCTCAAGCCTGCTATATATATCCTCACCATTGCTCAAGGCCACAAAGGCTGCAACCAAACCAAAGACCGCTATCACTCTCATGATCAAAACTCAATTGTTTCGCACAAAAATCGTGGATGCGCTTTTATAGAATTCGTTTCAGGCGTATGTTAAAATTCTCAATAAATTACAAAAATTCAAAAACAACAGAATAGTATCTTAGAAAGCCATATCAAAACTAAAATCCCATCACTGTCTACTCCGCCCATAATTGAGGTAATCGAAAATAAAACAACTTGACTGCGGCTAAAGCGATAATACGGTCGCAATGTTGTACGTATTTTTGGCTTAAATACTACATGCATATATGTACATTAGTATATATATATGTATGCAGGTACATGGTCTATCCATAAATCCATATAAATGTATATATGTATGTATTTCACTGTTGGGGGAAACCTCTCTTCCC